GCGCGGCCGTCCAGGCCGCCGCGCGCCGCAAGCGGCGCTAAACGTACCCCGAGCTCGCCAGCGCGCGACGGGCCCGTCTCGTCGTTTTCGGGGTCGAGGTCGGTGGGCGCTTCGGCGCTGAAGCTGCCTCCTTCCTCTGTTATTTTGTCCGGCACCGTGCGGCCAGCCTTCCACCCCGCCTCCGAGCTGCTGCTTGTGCAGGCTGGGTCCAACGTTGGTCCGGCCTCCTTGCGGTCGCTGCCATGCGTGCTTTTGCGGCCTCCCTCCTCGAGCTGCCTGGTGGTGATGTTTGCGATGTGGGTGCGGCGCCTGACCTCCACGAAGTCCTCGCCGAGGTCCGCGGCGGCCCCCCGCTCAGCGCAAGCCGCCTGCCGGCGCCTTGAACCCTCCCGTAGCTCGCAGCTGAAACGTGCACTGGGACCGCGGTCACTGTTCGAAAAGAGGCGCGTGGGAAAAAAAAAACCCTGGGGCGACCACGCCCTCGCCTGCACACGCAGCGGTCTTTTGGCGCGCCGAGCGAAGCTGGTCGAGCAAGCCTAGCTCGCAGTTTGCAGCGAGGCGGTCGGAGCGGAGGGACACGTTGTCCCCCAGCAGTAGCTGGCGCACGCGTCGGCGCCCGGAGTCCCGACGTCGGACCACCGACGCCTCCACCCCGTCGTGTGCGGCGCCTCGCCCCAAGGGCTCGCCCTCTGTTGCGATGCCGCGCTGGTTAGTTCCATCACCGGAGCGAGCACCCATCACCCGCGAGCGGACCATACTCCCGGCGTAGCCTTGCGAATGGCCGAGAGCCGCAAGCGCGCAACGTATCCGGAGTTGCAGCGTGGCGGTGGCCAACGCTTGTTCGTCAATGGTCGGAGGGCGCTGGAATGCCGACTCGCACGCGCTTTTCCGACAGCTCGTCCGGGTAGGGGCTTTCCGCGCGCCACCGGCCCTCCGAGCTGCCGCCGCCACTGCCTGGACGCGAGGTGGTGGGGCATGCTGTCGGCCGCGTGGCTGGTCTCCACCGGCGCCGCAGGGTGCGAGCCCGCGTTGGACCACGTGTTGGCGCTCGCTGAGCCAGCTGGCCCGAGCCGCCTCCCGCTGCGCTAAGCGCGGGATACGCCCGTCACGATGGGCCGCACGACCGCGTGAGACAAAACAAAAAAAGGAATGGCACCCGGGCACCCTCGCCAACCTCGTGCGACCTTTCACGGATTTTTTCGCTTCCAAAACACGCCGTCCAGTGCGCGCGAGGCCGAGCATGCAGCTCAGGGCAGCGCAACGCTGGAACCGCTGCGGACAAGCGCGTGTTTGAGATTGCTTTTCGCTGACCTAGGCTTCGCATCTCGAGCACTGCTGCTGTCCCAAAAATAGCGCGGGCGCTGTGCACTCACAGTCCTCCCTACCGGACCGGACTTCGTTGTACCCAGCGAGGAATTGCTCGTCCTGCTGCTCCGGACTCCGGAGGCTGCGTACGGCGCTGCCGCTCGCGCCCACGCGATGCCAATGTCGGCGCCACCTCGGCAACTTGGGTAACCACCGGTCTGTCTGCTTGTGCCCGAGTCGGTGCTGGAGCGAGCGGCGGCGCGCATCTGCCAGGAAGCGGTGCCTGCTCGCCACAAGCTGTCACAAGCGTGGAGATGCGAGATCTGAACTTGGACATCACACGACGTCCCTGCCACTGACGGTCGGCGGATTGAGGTTGTCGCAGACGTAGCCGCAGCCTGGTCGTCTTCGGACTCGAGGTAGGCGGGCGCTTCGATAGCCAAGCGTTGGCGCTGCTCCGACGACTCGCTCGGGCGCGCGCTCGCGGGATCGAGCATTCTGTGCGCGGGAGGCTGCGCGTGCCGCGCTCACGCGTCGCTGGACGGCCCTCGCGGGGCGCTTGCAGCGTTGCGGGCGCATGCTTATAGTTTCCTGGAGCTGCCCACTGCCGGCGCTGCATTTGCACTCGCGCGCATAGCCAAGAAACGCACTTACTCCGAGCTCCGACAGTTTGCCCAATGCAAGCTCGTCGTCCTCAGTCGAGCTCGGCGTTTGTCAAACTTTTGGCTTGCCTCCGTGAAAGGGCCGTGCCGGCTCCTTGCCCCGTGGCGGCGCTGCCAATGTCGATGGGAACCACTGCTGCTGGCAGACTCCTGCTTTGAGCCGCCCCTTGCAAGCCGCATGCCGTAGCGCACAAGTGGGCCTGGACTTGGGCCTTGTGGGTTTACACTGTAGTTTGGCACACCAGTAAGAAAGTGTGGACAAAAGATTGGAGTTGGCACTGGGACTTCGACCTCCTAACTCGCATTTGCAAAAAGGTGCGTGAAAAAAATGTGCGATGCACAACGACGCTGACCGGTACTGCTGGCGCGCATCAAATCTACGTAAACTGCGAGTAGCACCCTGCAACTCAGTGACGTGTTGTGGCACAAACGATGGCGTCGTTGAAAAGATGCTCACCTCAGATTCGATCTTCTGCTCTTTTGAGGGCTCAAGCCCGACCATTCCAGAATGAAGTTTGCGGGGGCACGGGCCGCTCCGACGCTTACCATGGCCCCTCGGACAACAAACTTGTTGAACCAGGTTTGCTATGCATACTACAGGGTGCTAGTCATTCCAAACGCACAGAGTAGGATCATGTGGATGCAGTGAGGTTGCGTCAAAAAAAGAAGTTGTTTGTTTGATTGCTTCTGCGAAAGAACACTGTGATGGTGCAGCTTCCAAGACATGATTGCGCTAACTCACGGTGATTACGTGTGATCCTCGGCAAGGTTCGGTTACTCCTGGCCGCGTACCTTTGCACCCAGGCAGGCTAGCTGTTGTGCAGGAGTCGAGTATGTTGGCGATGACAATGAGCATGGTGAGGACGATTCTGATATGATGGTGACGATTGTCGATTGTTTCGCCACGTTGCGTAGCACCATCAGAAGCATCCTGCACCGGCCACGGCGTGGAACCCTGTCTGAAAATGTGTTCTGCAGTGTTGGGTGTTTGTTGTGTGGTAGGCTTTGCTGCCATAAGGAGTTTTTCGAGACGTGATTGGGCAAGGTTTTTTGGGTTTGTCGCGGTTGCACGCAGTTCATGTTTTTTTGGATTTGTTTCCTGCTCCGAGCGAGCTGCAATGTCAAGACAAGAGGTGAACCCGAAGCTTGTCCACTAGTTGTGCTGTTGTTCTTGGTGCAGTGGTCCCGGACATACGGCGTTGGAGTAGTCTCGTCGAGGACATGGCGTCAATCGTTGTCGTAGCGACTCCCATTTTCAGACAGGAGTGACATGTGTAAAAAAGGCTAGCGACTTTGTCGACGGTTGTCGGGCACAGCCTATGTTCGAATAGCTTCAAGTGCAATCGGGCTTTCGTATTCGAGTTGTGCAAGGGTGGTAAAGTTTTTTTTTTTTCTGCGGGTGGGGTGCAGCACATCACAGGAGCTTGTGCTGTTGGGATTTTGCAGAGAATGGCCACAAAACATTTCCACCCCAAAGGCCTGAGTTGGGGGCTTCCTTCAGGCCTTCGGCTTGGTCGCGCGAGAGGAGACGACGCTGGCTGTGGAGGAGGCAGTGGAACGACAAGACGATTTCTTCCAAAGTTGTAAGAAATCTCGGAAGCTGATGTAAGTCTTCGAAGCTGCGTCCATGCAGCATCCTGGTTGAATGAATCTTCGGCTACATGTAAACACCAGGCCCCATTGCCGGCACCTGCCATGGCAACGCCTCATCAGGTGCGGTGCGAGTGGGCTTGGATGTCGGGATTGTGGTGTCAACTCGCGCGTAGTCACTTAGAACTCGAAAGTCGGGGCCGCGTTTGAAAGCACATTTGTTTGGACAGCGGCATGTTCAGTCTGTTGTATGGCGTGCACGTTGAAAGAAAGAACGCCAGCACCAACCTGCATGCGGCAGGCTGCCACAGCGACGGCAGCTTCGACCAAGGTACGGAAACGAGCAAAAGGATGTGAAGTTTGCAATAAAGATAAAGCGCGGAACAACGCAATGGTGTCGTGTCATCTTGTACTTGTTCAACAACATCAGATGTGTCCCCAGTTGAAGTTTTTATTGTCCCGAGTATCTTGGGGGTAGATTCAGCCTATCAGTCCTGTGTCGTTGTTGACCTCGGCTGGGAATTTTGTTCATGCTCTCCGTGCTAACAGCAGATGTTGACTGCACTTGAAACACAACAGGGCCCCAAAAGCTGCTGGTTACCACTGCTGGTTAAACAAATACATTCCGACAACCGATTGACACGAGTCCTACTCCAATGCTCGGGAAAAATAAAGGCCAAACCCAGTCCTTCAACTTAACTGGCTCGCGCGGAGTGCCTGCCCTCTCGGCTGTAGAAAGAGTGCAAGGGTTGAATGATTGTAGACAGTATGAATAGAAAACCCCGCAAATGCCGATGAAGGTGAAGTTACCATTTTGTATGAGGCACCAAAATCGGATGTCCAATTCCATGGAAGCTTATCTACGTACGTCGAGAGGTATAGTGTCATGATGAACCATGCATATAGTGATGGAAAGGCAAGACCGTCAATGCAGCACGTTAGCAAGACATGCGAATTCAAGTGGCAACACCGAGAGTTATGTTCATCCCTAATGCAGGTGTCGGGTTTACATGTCATAGCTGCTTCATCATTGCTCAACCACAAATACCTCGTTGCCACTCGCGTGATATCTGTTATGTAGCTGCCAGTGCGTTTTTGCCTGCATACTCGGCGCGTATTGAAGTGGTGTTCGTATCATCTAACAACGATGTGACTAACTTTGCCCGAATGCGAAACAAATACTTGCCTAGGACTTACTGTTTACAAGTGTTTGTAGATATATATATATATATATGCACATATATATATAATATAATATAATATAATATAATATAGTATAGTATAATATAATATAATATAGTATAGTATAATATAATATAATGTAATATAATATAATGTAATATAATATAATATAATATAATACAATATAATATAATATAATACAATATAATATAATATAATATAATATAATATAGTATAATATAATGTAATGTAATGTAATGTAATGTAATGTAATGTAATGTAATATAATAAATTGTAATATAATATAATGTAATATAATATAATATTATATAATATAATATAATACAATATAATATAATATAATATAATATAATGTAATGTAATGTAATGTAATGTAATATAATATAATATCATATCATATAATATCATATAATATAATATAATATAATATAATATAATATAGTATAATATAATGTTTGTGCTACATTTAGTGTGCAGCGCAACGAGTTCTCCCTTCAACTTTTACATGATATCCAACTATTGGCCAATCTTGAAGTAGATAACTGTGTTGCTATGCCATCTTACCCAACAGAACTTGTATTTCGGACTTAAGCAGTGCCATTGTAGTTGTGTTCTTCTATTCAATTAAAAGGCAAGCCTTTGTTATTTGCTTAACGGGTGAACTAGGTGTGTTATCGCCCTTGAAGATGTGGACCCGAAACGACGTAATAGTTAAGTGTTTTTTCATGCTTGGGGATGTTGAGTGTCGTGTATTTCAGGACAGTTGAAAGAAAGCTGTGATGTCAACGCCTCCAGCCCCTCGACGGGCACGGCTGCAGCGGGATCGCCATTTGATGCGAGTGCGAAGTTGACCCTCTTCGGTCTCCTGTATGGCTTTCTCTGCTTGGGTTGGCAGAGCATAGTCCTGTGAGGGGTGCGATGGCTGGAGATGCTTTTCGCCACTTTTGGTGTGCTCGCTGAGGTGATTCTCGCCCTTCGCGGTTCTCTCTTTCGAAAGTTCGGCTTTGGAGGCTGGGGTGGCCTTCTGAAAGCTGACAGTGTTGACAAACGACGGACAGGCTCGCTAGGGCGCTGCAGGGCGCGACCGTGCCTTTCGATTCTGCTGTTCTTTCTGTTCATTGAGGGCTGTGAAGCAGGAAGGATTGATGCTTCTGTGACGGATGGGATCGATTTGCTCATCGCTGGGGCTGGGCTCTTTTGCCTGGGTTCCATGGCGATCGCTTTCGGCAGGATGCTTTGCTGCTGGTGGCTCCTTGGGGTAGCCACCTTCTGTGACTTTGTGAGGTGGCTGTGGAGTGGTAGCAGGCATCTTGGATGGCGCTTCCGGCGGAGACCGCGTCATCTGCCTCTGTCTCTTAGGTCAGTTGCTGCTTCTGGTGCACGGCCGAGATGTCATGTCAAACGATTGTGTGCGGTCCCGCACCCTTGGGGGCCGTATGTTTCGAATCGCGCTCGCCATGAGGGCTGGCGACACGACCTTCGAGGTTTCCTGGCTGGTTGCTTTTCGGGCCCGGTTGGCTGGGAAGCGGCGACTGCGATGGTCCAGGCCTTGGCGTCGCATCGTGAGCCAATTTCCTTGGCGTATTTCCCGGCAACATCTGCCTAGGATCTTACAGCTGCAGGTCTTGCTTCCTCAGGGCTCGCATGCTGGCAGGAGTGGCGATGGTATTCATTCCAGGGGTTTGTCTCTTTAGGGTCATCGTAGGGTTGCGGTTTTCCTGCATGCCCTGAGGAGCCGACATAGTAGGAGTCTCCGGCGGCATAGGGGTGCTGTCGTGCGGGTCAGGACCCTAGGACCTGGAACAGTGAATCAAGAGTGTCATGAAAATTTGAGGGAGCGGGAGCGGACCCCAGGAAGGGCAAGAATTGATCAAGACAAGGTCAAGAGGCCTCAGGGCCCAGCTGCTACCGGCCCTCCTCAGCCTAGTGCCCCGGTTAGTTCGGTCGCTCGCCTGTGCCTCGGCCATGGTGGTGCAGGAAACCAGACGTGATTGTGGACTGGGCCCTTTTGGCCGTGGTGCATGGTGGGGCTTTGCTGCCTTAGCTATGCTTACTTTTGGTTTTGGGACCTGGCATCGTGTTAGTGTGCCAGGGGGGACTGACTGCTGGTGTGCTTTTGGCGCTGGCGCTGCTGTACATTCCTGCGCTTTTGCTGGCGGTCCTTGCTTTAGCAATGCAAATGTCATCGTGGACGGTTGTGGGTGTACTCCAACCATTGGGATGCACTGTGATTTTTCCAAGCGTTTGGGCAGCTTTGGGAGGCCTGCTACAAGTTTGGAGTGGTACCCAGGGTATGGTCTCGCGCTGGAGTGGCCTTGGTGGCAAAGCCATCAAAGCCTGCCGGGGACTTTCGTCCCATCAGCGTATTGCCGCTGCCGTGGCGCATTGGCGCCAAGTGCCTATGTCGAAGCCTCCTTGAGTGGCTCGATGATGCCTCGACGGGTTTACGCCGAATCGTACTGCACTTTTATGCCGACCACCAGCGCGTCTTTGCTGCCGCTGGCTGTATGGGACGGCAGCTTTGCCATGTCACGCGAGGGCTCGCGCAAGGATGTCCGCTTTCGCCGATGTTGGCGGCGTGCCTGATGTCAGTGTGGAGTTCTGTGATTGCTCAGTCCAGTCAGGCGCGGTCCCTCTCGTTTGTGGACGACCGGTACGTCTGGTCTCACGAGGCTCGTGAGGTGCTGAGTGCCAAGGAGGCTAGCGACCGCTTCGGTGCGGCTTTCCTTTTCCGTGTGACAGGAACAAGTCTTCTGTGGGCTGTGCTGAGGACTAGGCCGGCTGGTGGCCACGACTTTGGACTACAAGCGCTCTTGCAACTTGGAGGTTCTCGGGGTTTGCTTTGGCTTTGGCAGGTTCGCCGTTTGGCAGGTTCGCCGGCAGGCCAACCTTGTCCCAGTGCTCCTTGACCACCCTTCGAGGACCGTTGCTCGCTCCCTGCAGCACAAGCGTTTACATCTGCTTTCTTTGGTGATCCTGGTTATCACGTGGGCTGGTGGCTTTGCGGCGTCCCCGCCGATTTCGCGCAGGCGGCTCCGAGAAGGAGCTGGTGGACGTGCCCAGGGCCATCCTGCTCGAGGTCTTCGGCTGGGATGTGGATCCGGTCTTCATGCGCCGCTGGGCTGCTCTGCACGAGGCCATCCGCATCCATGGCAGTGAGCTGCTCTGGTTTGACGACGTGCCCTAGACGACCTCGTGCAGGCCCTGGTACCGTGTGCTTCTGGCTGCTGCGGCTCACGGCTAATGGCCAGTTCATCCTTCGCCATGGGTGGCACACTTCGAGCTGGACGTTGATGCTAGCAGCGTTCTTCATGAGTGGTTGTGCGATTGGCAGCGTGTGCACGCCGTCTCCATGTGTGGACGGGTGGCTAAGTCCCTTCATCGACGCGATGAGGATGGCACTGCTCGAGGCCTGGACTTGCCGGGCCCTTTTGGTGGGTTCGCTGGCTTTGTTTGCGGGGCACCTGAAGTGTTATAAGCAAGCCACTAGCCTGGGCGATCGTGAGGTCTGCTTCTTTGACCGCCGGCTGCTTGGCATGGTACCTCCAGCATCGGTTCAAGACTGCAGAGATCAGTTGTCGGTGCGGCTTGACCTCGCCTTCCAGGCCTCACCTTGCTTGGAACTGCCCTGCTCTTGTCACAGGCTGCAGGAGCGCTTGTTCGCTCAGGAGGTGCCGGAGACCCCGCCTCCGCCAGCTGTGCTGGACTACGACGCCTACGTTGATGACCTTGCTGACGCCTTCGATGGGATCTGGGCTCAGGGCAAGGACGCTTTTGTGGGCACTGACGGCTCGCACCTGCTCAACGTCTTGGTCAGTGGTGCTGTTGGATGGCCCTCGTTTCTCCGGGGGCCCGGGAGAAGATCAGTCAGCGCATCGGCCCGAAGAGGCCCTCTGGATCACGAATCACGCTTCAGGCCCGGGACGCGCTCGTCGCTGTGGTCGGGTTGTCATCTTTTCGGATTGCAAGGCGGCCATTCTGAGAACCATGCAGCTGTCGAGGGTTGAACCTCAGAGGTGGTAGCCCAGTTGTGTGCACAGTACCACGATCAGACGAAGCGTCCAACTGCGTAGCGGCATGATTGTTATGCCGCCTCCCTGCCACACGCTACAAGGCAAAAGCAACGAGCAGCGATCCATAGCATTTCCCAAATCCACATGCGGATTCACAAAGACATTTCGGTTGAAGCTCAGCGCATTGAAAGTATGTCCCTCACAGACACCCTTGACTATTGACATACCAGGAATCTTGTGACCCATGGAAAAAGAGTCGTATTGCGAAGCAGTCCTGTTATCGGCCTATACAGATACCTACCAGTGGAAAAAGCATGACCCCACCTACACCGAAACTTAAATTGGGGGGTGTTACACAACTCGGAACCCATTTTTTTTGGACACTCAAGTTGGCGAGTGGGGTTACATAGTGATTTAAGTTGGAGTTCATAGAGTAGGATGGGGGCGTTGACGACAGGCCCAAAGGCTTGGTGCAGAAGCCATTTTAGTTTCCGCCACCGGTTGCCACCCCTACCTGACCATCTACTTGTGGACTCCGAGCATGTGTCTGTTGCTAGCTGCTGGCTGTGCGCAGGACACTAAGGCAGGGCTTGCTAGAGGTGGCTATACTAGGCTACATAGCCATTTCAGTTTTGTGAACCCCGAGATTCAGATGCGGTCGGCTATTCATATATATAGTTTTCTGTTGGCGGATGTTTCGCGCGATCCACGGAGAGAGAGAGAGAGAGAGAGAGAAAGCAGCGATCCGAAAGAAAATGGGCATTTCACTTCTGGTGTCAGGTCGCATGAGGCCGCCCTATAGCAAGGTATACACCTAAATCCAGAAACATCCAGAAACTCAAAATCCAGGAATCGTTGAAGAGCTCCTGAACCCATAAACCCCTAAACGCAGAACATCTTAACCCTTACAATATGTCCTTACGTCCCGCAGTAACCCAGAACCAGAAAGCCCTTGAACCCAGAAAGCCAAAGCCCCCAAACGCAGAAACCTTGTACCCCAAGCGCGTGTACTCAGAAACTGAAAACTCAAAACCACTGAACAGGGGAACCGCTGAACCCAGAAACCCCAAAAACCCAGAATCCGAGAAACCCTGAGCGCATAGCCCAGAAACCCCAAACCCAGAAACCCAAAACCTTGTACCCCAAACCCTTGAACTCAGAAGCTAACAAAATCTGCGGGTAAGCCCAGAAACCGTGAATGCAGAAACCTTAAACCCAGAAAACTCCTGCAGCCAGAAATACAGAACCCAGAAACCGTAAACCCCCACAGAAATCATAAACTGAAGCCCAAAATCACCGAAGCCGTAAACCCCGAAACACAGAAACCCTGTACCCGGAAGCCCTCACCCAGTGACCGTAAACCCTAAACCCCTAAACCCTAAACCCTAATCTAGAGACTAATCTAAATACTATATAATCCTAAACCCTAAACCCTAAACTCGCTAAACGTGGTGAAAATGCTCTGGATATGCATCGGCAAATGGCTGGGGGGAATGGGTTGCGGGGCGTTGCCGGTCCTACGTTGCACTGCCCCGCGTTTAGGCGTAGCCTGCTTGGGAAGGGTGTCTGCAACAAGCACAAAGTCCTCCTTTTGAATATATCCCAACTTGAAAGCCAGCAGCTCAGCATCCTCTGGAGGCAATATTAAATCCATGGGAACAGCCGTGAGGCCGCGAGGGTGTACTGTATCTCAGAGTCAAGATTCCAGCACTCAGAGGTCTCACGAACTCCCGCCTCAAGAGGAACAACCTGATGCATCATGTAATCGACTGTTTTGTCTGAGCCCGCCTCAGATTCCTCCTGTGACTCAGGAAGAGGAGTGCCATACGAGGAATTCTCAAGCGTGCTGTGTGCTATGCCCAGAATGGAAGGCAGTCCAAGCCTCCACACTGGGTCCACACCATCCGGAACAATGCACTCGCCATTCGCATCAAAACGAATTTCATGAAAAGCCATGCGCACTCTCCATCACTACCCATCACCCACTCGCAGCTAGAAAAACTGCAGCAGCTAGAAGAGTTAACAGCTGTCAATGCGGCCAGTTGCCAGTGCCGCTACACGGTGCCCGGCTGACGTGTGCAAAGGCATTGACCAATCCCTGTGTTCATAGTTGTCGCGCTTCAAGAGTGCGCGCTTGCGTCCCCAACCCGTGGTTGGCTTGGTCGCCACGGTGCTTCATCTTGATTTGTTCCTTCCTGCCTGACGCTTGGAGCATGTACAAGTCCTCTTCGATCATTGGTTCAAAATTTTAGGCGCGCGGTATGCTCGTATGTTGTCGCTTCTTTGCGCGCATTCTAGGGAGAGAGAGGCACACGGGGCCAGCACGATGGTTGAGCAGCCAGAACAGTCTTTTGTGTTTAGGTAGCATGGTGTGCAAACATTTTCAATGTCGAACAATGAACTTCAACTGTGTGCTATGTGCATGGCCTCATGCTAGGAGACAAACTTGCGCAGTTGCTCTTTGTTGTCTTGTCCAGGATGTCTCTTACCGTAAGTCAACCTCGCCAGCGTCGTCACTACCTCAGTGGGCAGGGCTGGGGAGGTAATTTTTGAGCACAGGCTCCGCACATGGAAAACAGCATGTCTATGTAGAGCTTGTGGATCCTGATGCCAGGCTGCTTCTTTCACCCCAGGAGCCAGAGTGCACCTTCGGCAGCGGGAAGACCCACCACCCGCTTGGCTTCAGATGTTTCGTGCCCAGATGTCCGTCTCTCGTGCTGACCGCTTGTGCTGGCTCGAGATCCTTTCCCCTTTCCCCTGAAGAGCCCTTGACTCCAGAGGCCAAAGCATTTGCTTTCGAGTCCTCACCTAGACACGCGGACGGGTATTGCGAGCATCATTTTTGGTATGTTTTTTTTGTCATTGTAAAACTGCCTGTGAAGCACGCATGGGAGTTCCAGCTTGTCAGTCATCGCTACCATCCAATCGGAAGGCAACGAAGCAAGCGCTGCGTGGACGAGCAATAGCAGTGCGCCCTCATCGGTTTCCACACGAGCCTTAGCATAGAGAGCAGAGGGATTTTGCATCAGGTCTTGGCCTCTCCATCGACGCCGAGTCCCACATTCACGAGTGGGACTCCCCAGTGCTGGCAAGTTGAGCTCTTTTAGGTCATGCAAATATGGTACACCCCCCACCAGCAACATATCAGAACCGTTTTTCTTGAGTTTTTCCTCAGGGGTGTCTGCATCCAGCTACGGCGTGCTGACGGCACTAGGCGGGAAGGCGCGCATTTCTTGCTAGGATCAGTGGCTGCAGTGAGATTGTTGGACCCTGCGCAGGATCCAAGAAGCGCAACCTTTTTAAGAAGGCTCAGCGGTTTTTACCAGCTTGTTGTGGCCGCAGCATCTGCATGTCACTTTGCAGGTGGTGCTCCCCCCGCAGCAAACCATGGACGCCACGGTGTCGCGAGCCTGAGAATGGAGACTGGAATGCATGTGCATTTGGGGTTGCATTTTTCAGAACGAGAGATTTTGTTGGGATGCATGTGCATGCGGGGTTGCATTTTCCAGAATGCAACACAAATTTGGGGAAACATGTTTCCAGTCGCGAAAGCTCCTCGCGAGAAGAATCGTGTAACACCTCACAACGTGAACCTGGGATTTACGGGGGGGACGGGGTAGCGGTGTGCAGGGGGGGGGGGGGGGTTTGGGGGGCAGAGGGCGATCTTTGCTGGACTCCATGTCCTTCGCATCTCCTGCTGCATGCTACCTCGGAGGCTTTGAGCTGCACCACAAGCTTAGCCGCAACTTGCCAATGAACCCGAAAGAAGTGGCAAACTGGGCCGCTCCACTGCCGTAGCTGGATGCCAGCTGCCCTGAGGAAGGTTTAGGAAACGACATTTGTAATATGTGTAGTTTGTAGCACCCTCCCCCACATGATGACATCAGCGCCCTCTACATATGATGAGCACTGCTCGCCCCAAACAACCACAACACTTATCAGCTGAAAACCTTTTACAGCAACTTGCGGCACATCCTTGAGCACTAACGCTGCGCAGTCGAAGCGAGATTCGATGCAAACACCTCCTTGCCGATCCGTACAAGTTAAGGGATCCAGGACAACAAGGAACAACCTTTTTCAGAGCCGCCACGCCAAGACTTGGTCAAGAGCCTTCTTTATCGACGGCAAACCTCGGTACTCTCAAACATTGCAGTTGCCTGACCAGCTTGAAGTGGCTTGAAGCATTCAGCACATTTAGGCACAATGCTGTCCGAGCTCAAGAAACCGTCTGGCCTCCAGCATCGTTTACAAGGGGCATGCGACTCTTGAGATGGAAAGCCCTTTGATCGCAGAATTTGCCGAGGATTCGGAAGACACCTATTGCTCCTTCTGGTGCAGATGTCAGACGCCTAGTGACACCTACAGCCTTGTAGTATCTTGTAACCCGTCGCCGGATAGATTCTAGACTTTCTGTGCCAGGCCCACGGCTGAAACTGATGTGATCGGCGCGGCGGTTGGAAATGCTTTTACTTTGAGGTCTGCCCCGTGGCTTCATTTTATTATGTATCCTCCATCTTCTTTCTTTGTGTGTCCCTTCGAGTTGTGAGCGGAGTCAAAGGCAGCTCAAATTAAAGAGCGGTGCTGCGAGTCCTAAGACTGGCACTCCGCGGATATAGTACTATAGTACAGAAGCGCAGTGCTTGATGACTGCTTGGCCTTGCTGTCAGCAAGCCAAAGGCGCGTAGTTTAAGCTGATTGGCAAGACATTGCCACTGGCACGATCAATGCACGGCACAAGTTGGGTCATGCAGTTGTTTGAGCCGTCATGGTCCAAGAACTGGGGTTCATGCGTTGGAAGCCGAGCGGGAAGCGTGCCATATCCGAATCAGACGCAGCTCTGCCATGTCAGGGGTAGGCCGAGGCAAAAAGACCGGAGCTTGCATATCCAAGAAACCATGCCAGATTTGCCTTTGGTTGTTGTCGGTGCATGCTGAGCAGGCAGTGGATATAAAGCTTTTGAGGTTTCAGAGGCTCCCCGGCAGACGTGCGGTCAGTCATGGAACGGGCCTGGCTCTTACATGTGCTACATGCTTTGTAGCTGGTGCAGCTGCTTTCTACTCTATGGGTGCTGTTCTTCGGCAGCGGCCTTCTCGTGGGCTCTTCCGTTCACCTTCTTTCCATCGTGGTCATTGCGTCGTGTGCTGCACTGGCCGTGGTGCAGCGTACATCCATATACCTCCTCGGTGACGCCTTGTGCATCGTCTTTTCGCTCTGCTACGACTTCTTCCTTGGAACCCCTGACGTCTAGGAACCGACCTCCTGTCGTCCGCGTATTCCTACCAAGAAATGATCTGACATGTATCCGTATTTGTTAGCTTTGAACTACACTCCATAAGTATTGGCGAAATAGAACGAGAGGTCCTGCTCTATTGCTACATGAGCACTGATCGATTAGTCATCGATTCGGCTTTGGATTACGCTGTGCTAGTGTGGTTCAACACTTACAACACGCACTAAAGCTGCACTGGGTTTGTGGGTGCTGTGAACCTATGTATGGTGACACAATGTCCGAACATTTGCAACATGATATACAAGCCAATGACTCTTCGTCCAACATTTAGTAACCGTTTACCCACGGATTAACATCATAGGGCACAGGGCGTTTACAGTGTACGTTTTGGTTGCATACGTACTCCAGTTGAGTATATGTAATGTGTATGCATATATATATATATATACATACATATACATATACATATACATATACATATATATATATATATATATATATATATACGTATATATATATATATATATATCTATATATCTATATATATATATGTATATATGTATATATGTATATATGTATATATGTATATATGTATATATGTATATATGTATATATGTATATATGTATATATGTATATGTGTATATGTGTATATGTATATGTGTATATGTATATGTATATGTAGATGTAGATGTAGATGTAGATGTAGATGTAGATGTAGATGTATATGTATATGTATATGTATACGTATATGTATATGTATATGTATATGTATATATGTATATGTATATATGTATATATGTATATATGTATATATGTATATATGTATATATGTATATATATATATATATATATCATACATGTTTACATGTGTATAATGTCCATGCTTATGTAATGTAAATGTGTAAAATGATTCTGCTAATCGGGAATCTTTACACAACCGCTAAATAATTCATTCGATATCAACTGGTTGTACAATCCGAGGCGAGAGTAGATGAATGTATCGACACTACTTTGAAGACTTTTGAGCATCAGATATGATGTTGGCTTTCGATCAGTAGCCCGCAAGAGGGTTGGCACTTTGCGATTTGTTAAGGCCTTGCGCTACGTTGGCTAGAGTTCCTAAGCAGTGAAAACAATTTTCACATACCATAAGCTTTCCTCAGCAGAATTTTGGAGCAGGTTGGCATAAACCTCCAATTTTCTATGGGCAAGCAGCTCCGCGCGGGAAACCAACGACTGGGGTGTGAGCGGGCATTGGCAGAAGAATCCAAAACAAAATAAACAAAAAAACAGAAGCCAAAGAAACAACAACGCGAAAAAACGGCAGTCTGACAACTCTGAGCGCGGCGCCTACAGCGGAAACCAAAAAAAACAAAGAAACCAAGCAAAAACAAAAAAACAAACACAAAAACAAACAATTATCCAGGAGACTAGTCACCCAGATTTTTTTTGTTTTTTGATTTTAATTGTTTTGTATCCAATATGAGGACGAGAATATTTTAAAATAACGCGCGGTCTGAAAACAATGCTTCTGTGCTCCTACGGACCGGTGTGCAAGGATCACAGGACACAACAAGGGCTTCGGGAGACTTAACACGGAAAATCGGGGGCCTACCCTGCGGTGCAAGCTGCTTTGTCAAGGCGGCCCCGACCTATGCACCTGCACCGGTGGTGACCCCTTTCTCTGCCAAGACCGACCAGCACGGGCAGTTCAGGGGATTCCACTTGTCGCGGGAGCTTGTATTTCAGGTTCTGGGCTTGTGGTTTTGAGTTCGCCGCTTCGTATCACGAAGCGGATGTGATCGTGTTTTGCACCAGCTTCCAGGATCCTCCGGCCCATCCTCGGCGAGACTGCGAGCCAGTATGGCCAACATCAGCTACTCGGCTGCAGCCGTCCGCCGTCCCCGCCTCTCGGCCTCTCTCGGCCTGGCCGGGTTGAAGTTTCGGACAGTTTAAGCGACAACCCCATTTTTGGGCCAGAGCTGTCTTGAGAGTAGTCGCCACAAGTACATGGCCCGAACAAAAATGTTTGCTTAAGTCTTTAACCAGAGCCAGTTGGCATTTCGGGCAGGACGACTCGTCGGTCGTCACCCGAAGCCAATCATCAGCGAACGAGGTGGTGGGTGGTCGCGCGCACCATCATCGGCTGGATAGTGCTGGCCTATGGCACCTTGGCATGCGAAGCCAAGTATGTTGAGACGTTGTGAACTTTCAGCACCAGACATCACCGCGATCAATGTAAGTTGAAAAGTGCGGAGCACGTCGGCGTCAGACGAACACCACCACAACGGTTTCGAAGTCAGCAACATGCCACGCAACTGGGTTTAATTTTCTTACGGACGACATGCTGAAGGACGCAGGCGGGCTGCAGGGCCGCATGTGAAAAGAGAAGTTCCAGCAACTGCCAGGCATGCGACAGCATCTGCAAAATCGTAGAGGGAACGATGCGAAGTTTCTTGAGACCCCTAACCGGAGACTGAAGAATCCTCGTGCTGGGCTCCCTCGCAACCAGACAGTGATGCTAGTTGCCCCCCCCGCAATTGAGAAGAGTGTGAGGAGTGTGGATGTGGACATGGTGGCTTCCTTCTCTGTACTTTCGCATGCACGAGGACTACTTGAAGGCCACGGGCGGCTGTTTTCTAGTAGCACATTCGGATTTTGGGTGATGGGGCCTTGGAGACCGGCAGAGGCACCAGGGAAAGGGCGAGTTTTGAAGACATGACCGGCACATCGAGATTGAATGATGCCATAACAGGGTGCTAGGTTTTAGGGGTTTTCGGCTCTGTGGCATCGACGCAAGCCTGGCAGGAAGACATCGAAGGTCGAAGCTTCCAGCAGTACCTCACCTACCACTTCAACTACTGGATGACGGCAGGCGCTGATCAGATGCTCCAATGTTCCGGATGGAACCCTTAAAATCGGAGAGGACGAGGGTGGGAGAGACGGTGAGTAGGACGAGTAGGAGGGAACGAGCGAGGAGAGACGATCTTCCGCGGGGACGACGACCTAGACAAGGAAGCGGTGAAGTGCAGAACCGAGACGACCCCGTTAATCAGTCACGACTAGTAATTAGAAGCCAGCATGAGTTTCCAGCTGTAAGACGTCGGACGTGCTCGATGTGGTGTGCACTGACAGCTTAGACGCGTTCGCCTCCACGGCGCCACAAAAGGATGGGAGCTGAAGTGGAGAGAGAGAGAGAGAGTCAAACATGTTATTGTGTTCAGGTCACTGTTACTTGTTGCCGTTATTCGCTACCCACTGATGAAATAGTCTGATGCACGTGTCCTTGAACAGAAGAAGAAGAGAGAGAGAGAGAGAGAGAGAGAGAGAGAGAGAGAGAGAGAGAGAGAGAGAGAGAGAGAGAGAGAGAAAGTCATCAGCCATGAATTCCTTCAAAGGTTTTCGGCAGACTTGCCTTACCTTTGCCTGTTGAGTGGAGGTGGCATTGGCGCGATGTTCAAGCTGCTGGGAATCGGAATTCTCACACTTCTGACGATAGGCCACGGTCCCAGGAACCGAGAGCATTCGTCGGATCATTGTCGTGCAACACCATCAACCGTGCACAACTCGGTAGCGTTGTGAGCCATTTGCCAGGTGTAAACCCTGGAAAGTGTGATGCCACATGTTGAATGGGGAATGTAGCGTTTGCAAGACAGTCTACTGCAACGGAGGCTGTGTTTGGAGTTTGGCCGCCCGTGTGTAAGTGCCAGCTCGCTCTTTTGACAATGCTGTCAGAATCGGTGATCATAATGTGTTCATCGATTGGCGTTGGACTCAATCGCTGAAACCGTAAACCTCACTGAACTCTCAACCCGTAATCCTCTTCCCCGACGCTTTCGCAAAGCCTGGCCGCGAGCGGAAGCTTTGAGAAGGCGCGTTCATCTACGCGATCCTCATGCAGGCCAGGCGGCCCGTGTGCCGTGCCTTTTTTTTTATCGGGGTCCTGGGCAGGGCTAGGGCTGCAGGGTCGAGGCGATGAAAGTTATGGCCGGGAGGCTGCATATAGGGTGCAGAGTTTTTCAGGTAGAAATCACAGTTATGGAAGATGTAGGCTTGAGGAGACCAACCAGGCCGAAACCTTCTGCAAGAGCGCTTGAGGTGTAACCTCTCGCAAACCCAGGACCCTGGGATGAGGTGGTGACATTTGTGGTTAGATTAGAAGCTAGAATCTAGAACCACCAAACCTTGAGCTGTGCTCGCATGTTGATGACATTTGGGCGGTGCTGGGAGAGTAGAAGGATACCGCCCACGGGTTAGTATACCTCTAGCAGAGCATCTGTGAACAGAAGTGTGCTGCATGCTCTATTGACTCCAGGACCCTACTTCTAGCTCCCGCATCCTGTTTCAGGACTCGCCCGTGCGAGGGCTGTGGCTCTGCACCGTCTGGGCCTCCGCTGCCTCAGTGGACCCGGCAGTGACGGCCATGGAAGGTGGAGAAGGGGGAGATGGGGCAATTCTCAACTCAGACTGCGCTCTCTCTCTTCCAGGAGTTTAAGAGTTTAGGCTCAGGCATGGGAGTTAAGCATTTGGACTCCGAGTTTGTTTGTTTTGGATATCCGAGGTCAGGGTTCGGGCATCAAGCATTCGCCCAGAGGGAGGCGGCCCTGAGGTGGAGTGGGCATGCTCCTGACCTTCGGAGGGCTGGTGCTCCTGGCAGCTTCCCAGCTGCGATGATCTGCTTCGCTGCACACCGCAAGAGCCCAGGGAGACTCCTGCCAAAAGCCTCAGCGTCGTGTAGCGAAGCGAATACCCTGAACAGCGAGCCTTTCAACAGGATCACGTCTTCTTGCCCGCATTATCGCTCGTTTTCATGCCGAGGTTTCATGTGTAAATGGCATCCTTGCTAGGCTACAAGTACGAGCTTTCATGTTGTGTCCAAGGAGCGACAACCTTGCCCGCCCCGTCTACAAACAAGCAACAAGTCATCAGTGATACCAAGAAGCGCATGCCTCAGCAACTCCGCCGTGAGCGAAGGTTCTGCTCACAACCATCTCCGATTTCTTCGCCGCACAGCAGAAGTATCTGGGCGTTCAGTACAGCCCTAATTCCAATGGAACCCATGCGTCATCTGAGCCGGCACGTTCTTCAGAGCGGCAGATCCCACGACCTGCACTGCAGCTATCGACATGTCAGGAAGTCCAACGAGGGCCGCGATCCCATCGTGGAGGCATGCGCCGGCATTGCCCGAACGGACTTTGCCTTTCATCCAGTAACAAACCCAACGCCAGAACCTACAAAGTGACGAAGCGGTCAACAGCTGTCAATTGCCGCCTGAGCTGTTCATGAATCGGCATATCGTCAGTTGTATCCGTATACTGCTCACTAGCCGCGATGCTGCTGCTCTACGAGCTGATTATTGCATTCCTACTGCTCGGTAGCCGGAAACCCCGTAACCTCCAAAACTTCTAAACCTTGACAGCACCAGGGAGGGCACCTTGTCCTGCTGGGCCTGTCCTCTCAGACGAAGGACTTCTTGGAGGAGTGCCTTGGAGAAGTCTGCTCTAAGGCTCCGAGGTTCTCTCGTCTGGAGTGGCTATTTCTTCATTATTTGGGAACATGAACGATGCGATTTCAAGGGTGATGAATTTCGGGCATGGTCTCTTCTTTATGCCAATTGCTCAGGCTGTCCGAGATGATGCACGGTCGCGTTGCGCGTTGTTGCTTTCATTCTACTGGTAGTGGAGGCTCAAGCTGTCTCGTTTGCCTTTTCTTCCCTTGTTGTTCCACTCATATGATGTTGCTCGCGATTCGGTGCGGGTTGCTCTATCCTTTGGACCCAAGGCCATCGTAAAGATCAAGGGTTCCACAGGACTCAAGCTGTGCGAAGCTTTCCTGTCATTGGCTGCACCGAGCGTTTTGACGCAGATGCCTTTGCGTGTGCCCTATGCCTCCACCTAACCCGCTGCTTTTGAGGAGTAGCTGAGTAGCGGGCATGGTCACATGAAGTGTACTACTCTTGCTTGTTTTGTTTCTTGGTGCCTGTAAGTTGGGACGTGGGTACCGTTGCCAACAGCATCTGGCAGCCAGGTTGGCCATCTGCGAAGCGAACTCTGCACCAAAGACAATTGCAATTCTGGATACGATGCCGAAGTCTGAGACGCTGGGGCTTGTTTACGACTGCAAGGGAGTTGCATGTAGTACGCGGGACAGTCGTGGATTTGGGGAAGCCAGCATGGAAGACGACATTTCCACGAAGCCCACTCAAACCGGAGTTGTTGAAGTGGCTCATATCGCTCTGACGTAGAAGGAAGGACATGGCAATGCAACCGTTTCATCCTCACATGCGAGATCACGGAATGGGCCTGCAGTCATTCCCTGCCGAACGTTTCATCAGTGCGGGCTTGCAAAAACCACCCCGGGATCTAAGGATCGAAGAAGAGATCAAGCGGCAAAACACCAATACCGGAGACCTCAAGCAGCTTGGAATGCACTCACCACAGCAAAGTCATCATTCTGAGAGCGAGCCATAGACAGATTGCTGTCTAGAAGGCACCTACCCAATCTCCTGCCAAACAAGAGCAGGGGGTCAGAAGAACTGTCGGTCTTCAGACCGAGTCAATTTCAACTTTAGACTCAGCCTCAAGCTAGAAGCGAAGTGCAGCACCGTCAGCAGATGTTTGCGAGCATTACAACCGCGGACTGCACATGGCACATAGGCTGCTCCTCGCAGAAGCCGTCTCATCTGACACACAGATTACAACTAACGCCGCATCACAACTTATGCCGTTTTGGGATGCCCTACGCCAAGATCCAAAGAGGAATCGGTCGAGGGGTCCATCCAGACACGGCCAACGTGCCTTTGGCCGTGCTTGAGTCGAAGACTGACGTGCTTTGCCCTACTCCCAAGGATCGTTTGCCGTGGCGGGCTGCCTTCGTCGGCTGAGGACCTTGGTGGGCGGTGGCTTTGTAATCGGACCATGTGTGTGGGTTATGGCCTGTGGGGGCTTGCGGCGCAAGATCTTGCAAATAGGGCATGTTGTATTGATGCTGTGGATGTATACGTGACAAGCTCAAATCTGGCCACACCAGGACCTCTGGAAAGTGGGTGCGGACGTCTGCAGCAGGAGCAAGCCCTAGACTTCAACCCTGACCCCAACACTCTGAGCCCAAAACACGAAGCCCGAATTCGAGGCACCTGGCAGCACCGAGTAGCGTTCCAAGGGACTTGAACCCCGAACAGGCTTCAATCCCACCTGCGCATGAAGCAGGAAGCAGTTTGTCCTTGCTTCTTTTGCCTGGGGCAGCTGTTCTTTCCCCATCACCTGGCTGTAGCCGGAGTTGGAGTATTGGGTGTGGTGTGCGAGTCGAGGACTCTCCTTGTTTGAGTCGTCCTCGCATGGACCATTTGAACAGTTTTGGCCGAAGCGTGGCGAAGCAGGATCGTGATCCTGGATGAGCCATCTTTGCCTCGGGACGAGGCTTCCACCCCGCTTTCTGAAAGTTGTGAGACAACTAACGTTTGAGGGGCGAGGCGAGCCTAGGTTCTCAGATTTCAGAGCCCACGATGTAAGAGGGGTAAGTGACAGCTGCAGAGCAGGCAGGCCATTGCTTAAACTGCCACTCCATTCTTGCCGCATGCCAGGCGGATTCCATTGCTTTTGGCACTCTGCTCACATTGCGAGGCGCGGCTGGATAACTCATACTCATAGTTCCTTCGTGCTGGAAACTGCCCTTGCTCTTCCCAGATTCCCAACCTGTCTCTCATGTCGCGAGGGACCCGGCTGAGCCCAAGCCCTGTCAGGCCAGGGCAAGACGGGCTGGCCGAACAACGGCCACATCTCGGTCCAGTCACGCGTCTGCAGTCTGTGCGTGGTCAGGGGATTTCAAGTCTGAAGCTTCAAGTGCGGAGTCCGGGCTGCTGCGCAGCGTGAGCCAGTCTTTGCGGAAGTTTTGTCTCCTGATTCTCTGCGGGCACCTCTGAGCAAGCCGAGGTGCTGCCTGGGAAAGAATGTGGGCTTTATGAACGAGCTCTACCCAGGTCCTGATCGTTGTGTACTAGCTATCGGGTATGCCGGCTCTAGAAGAAGGCTCACCACTGAAGGCTGAATGCTTCCTTTCCACATATAATCCTCCCTAGAAACAGCGAAGAGTCGCGTGGCCCTTGTGCATATCTGCAAAGCCCCAACGACAAAGCCCACAAACAACCGTTGGAACAGGGAAGACCTTCGTCTTGAGCGGTGAACGCCTCGGTCGGCTCATGGTGCAAAGCGCTCGGGATCAGGCAGAGCAGGGGGAGGGACAGAAGACTTAGCGATTGTGAAATGAAGCCTTGAACCTCCGATATCAGAGCTGGTGTTGAAAGGCTCGATGCTAATGATTCTGATGGTGGTGAGCACTTGAAGTTGGAGGTGGTGCTCTTGCGAATTATGGCTGATGGCGACGGGGGCGGCCATTCGGATCGCACCGCATCGGGAACAGCAGATGAAGAAGCTTCAGAATCGGCCGTCGCCCGTCAGGGTCTTTGCCCCATCTTCAATGCCCCGGCCTGAGCCGCTATCCATTGATGCAGCCAGCATGCTTCCAGGTCAAGGGTTCTTAAAGCACCTCTAGACTCTGCGTTTTTGCCGCTTGGTCGAGTAACACTTCATAGCCGTCTTCTCGACGCAGCACCAGACCGCCTGAAAGCCTCGAGTCGAGGCCATCATTGGCTTTGAGGGCGACGAGTTCTACGCTGCAAAAGCCTTGGACATAGGGGTGGTGGGCAGGACTTTCCAGGCCCAACCCGGTGGGGTTTGGGCTTCAAAGTTCCGCAGTAGACTTGAAAGTCGTTCGTAGTTGAGGCATCGAGGGCTTTATACAGGGCATGCAAGATCAGGCATGCCGGCATGCTCGTGCATGCATAGGCGCGCAGATGCATTGTTTTGTTTGAATGTACATTTCCTCGCACGGACGTTTCAATGTTCATGCTGTTGAAGATTGGGGCTTAAAGGTTGAGGTGAAGCATCTGTGATGATCGAGTAATGACTTGGATGAGGGGAGTTCTGGAGCCTTTGACGAATCTGATAAGGAGTGTCATCCAATGCATCGTAACTAGAATTCATAAAGATAATGGGGACTCCAGGCTCGCACTCAAACCCTCAGCTGCGTCCACATCCGAAAGAGGATTGCAATTCACAACGACCCTTTCGCACTTCGCTGTGCCCTTCATAGGTGCTTGAGCCAAGATAGCACGTGACCTTAGTGTCATCCTGCGCAGGGGTCATGCTTCGATGCCACTGCCGATTTGTGCGTGTCATCCTGTTCTCAACTGCTCAACAACACTCCTCCTCAGCATACGCACGTGACGCGCGCGATTTGCTGGATCATTCCGAACAGGTCAAAAATGACAGCACAACGAGGCGATAGTACTAATCAGTGGACTTTCCACACGCCTGTCAAAAGCAATCTTTAATTCCAGGCCCCCAGGCCCAGCAACTCGCATGCACTTTCCAGCTTTCGGTAACTCAGGCTCTTCGTGAGAATGTCGCCTTTGATCTCATTCGTTCCGGTGTGCACGACATCGATTCCCTCATGAACCACAGTATCCCGAATCCAGCTGGTCCTAATGGCAAAATGCCGGGTTCGCATGACCAACTCAGAGAACGTATCCCTGGTGCTACGCGTGATCGCACCGCTGTTGTCGCCATGCAAGGTGCTTTCGATTGTTTTGTCCAACATCTGCTCTAACAATAGCTTCACATGCCAGCCCTTTTGAAGACCACTCGCCATGCCCTCCAGCTCGGCTTCTGTTGCACTCCACGCTGTCAGTGCCTGCCTCGTTGAAAGATAGGCGATGATGTGCGCATCAGGGCCATCACCTATGGAAACAGTGACTCCAGTTCTTGACCGACTGCCTCCATTGGCATAGCTAGCATCGGTGTGAATGTGGACTTCGGGGTCGGTCTTCAAAGGTTTGTACTGCATGCACCGGTTCACCGTGTGTCTGAGAAAACGCCATAGCCCTTTGGTTAGCCTCAGCGTCTCAGTGGGGTTGTTCACCAACATGCATGCAGCCGATCCTACCGTTGACAGGATATCCGGACGAGTGCGGAGTCCAACCCACATCAAGGATCCCACTTCGCTCTGTCCCTGTTTGACCCGCTTCTTGTACTCCTCATCGCGTGTCTCCGGTGGTAGTGTTCCCTCACATGGATCTGGAAGACTCTTTGTGCCATTCATGTGCACATAGCCTCGTGAATCCAGTGACTGAAGGATCCACTTACGCTGTGAGACTTGTACTGTGCCATCCATAAGCCTTTGAATTTGACATCCAAGATACACTAAGGAAGATTTGATGGGGCATGTCATGTCATCCCACTTCACTGCCTCTCCCGGCATGCTTGGATGTTGTAGGACGCCTTGTAGCTTGACCTTCCACAGCGATTTCATCCCAATGGCGGTTCTTCGCTAAGCTTCGGCGTCTCCGATCACCCATCCATCGTCTACATACGTTGCGGCTATACCAAGCAACACTCCAGTATCCCTCTCAAGAATTTTCCATAGACCCTTGCATGCAGGAATGGGTTCAAACACCATGACGCCATGCCCATCGTCCTTTGACGGATCAAGAATGAGATTTGTGATCGCCTCATCCCGGTGTGCTTCCCAATCTACCGGGGACTGTCTGAGTCCGTATAATGCTCGACTCAAGATCCATAGAGTTCCCTCTGGAACCAACCCTAAGGATATCAGGATTGGTGCCGGTCGCACCACGATGGCCTTTTCCCCGCGAAGCTTCGCATACAGAAAGGCGCAGCTTATATCAAAGATTAGTCCGCTCCATGCGGGATTGTTTGCGAGAGCTGAGAACATCAAGCGTAGGCCTTCACATTGGATGTTGCAAGATGCGTACTCTTCCTTTGTGTGCGCCGATGTGTCCTCGAAGTTCCCACACCCGACAATCCCAACGCGAGCCTTCCAAGAATTTAGCTCCGCATGCTTCTTCGCTGACTCCGCGCTCATGACGACGGGCTTACGCACGTTCACGAGTTTTGAAGGTATGATCTCCGGTAGCTCGTCGGTTTCACTCAAACCCAAGTCCTGCCGCAGTGTATTCCATGAGCTTTGTGTCCACACCTGCAATTTGTCCATGTTGCTGAGCTCCTCCTTGGCTGCATCCACCCACTTCTGAATCTCATCCTCGGTGCCGGTCTTAAAGACATCATTCGTCATTGTGATTCCGGAGGCCTGATCCAAACCACTCAGGATAGCCTGCATCTCCTCCTCAATGGCGTGTTGCTCCTCCTGAAAGGTTGCGATGTGGTACTTCCCGCTCTTCCCTACCTCATCTGCTGGTTGCGCTGTAACTACATTAGCCTGGGCTTTGTTCGCTGACAGTTTGTCCACAACAATGGTTTCAGGCTCCAGCGGTTCTGGATCTGGACCTATGTCCTCCGGGAGCATTTCCGTTCTCAAGAGGCTGTGGCCAAATGTGGCGAATAGCTCCAGCGATTCCTGTGGCCCTCTTGGCCACGTTCGCTGCTGATGATCCTTTCCAAGTTCTCGGGATTACTATCCGGACCGTGAAGCCTCTCCTCCACAGTGAGAATGCCACGAGGTGCATCCTGGTCCCACACAACCTGACCATCACTGCCTACCCACACTCTTCGATCACTGGTTGGATCCACTGAGACCTTCCACCTGACAGTTGGTTGGTTAAGCAACACGGGAAGTCGCGCTCTAACCATCTTCAGTCTACCGTTGACCATGCAAAGGATCCACGATCCATGCACGCTGCTCACGTTGTGACCAATGAAGACCCCACACTTAGCCCGTTCTTCAAAGTCGCCAGCATCATGCCGCTTGACCGCTACCCAATCTCCCATCCTCGGAGTCCCCTTAGGCACCGAAATACCCATAGCTCGCATCCGAGAGTACAGCGCAGCGTTCTGCACAGCATACGTCCAATATGTTGGACTCAAACCTGAGTGAACCAACTCCCGGATGGCCGCTTGCTTGAGCGCTTGTACCCCTCTTTCAACTCGACCGTTTGATTGAGGATTATAGGGTGCTGACTGGGTGTGCAAGGTGGGGAATCGGGTCCCAAGCTCTTGGAATAACTGTGCTTCGAACTCCCGGCCACAGTCGGTGTGCAATCTGAAAACTGGAGGTACCTGAAGCGATGCTAGTTGCGCCATGATCCGCACCGTGGCTTCGGCCACTGCGCTCGCATGCTTGGTCTTCGTGGGCTCCGCGTAGTAAGGATTCTTTCCGCTTGGCATACGGTAAACACCGATCACGATGTAATTTATCTGGTCTGCTGATGTCACATGAGGCCCTGAACTATCCAAAGAGAGATTGGCATAGGACTTACTGTCGTTGCTAATGCTTCGGTGAGGCCTCACGGCTCCTCTGGCACGAACGCAAGCTTCACAGTCTTTATCGTAACGTCCTGCATGGCACTTCTTCTTGAGGATTTCCAGTGCCTGCTGATACGCAGCTAGATCAAACAAATCCGCATCACCAGACGGCTCATCAAGTGGTGTGCCTCCATGATGCTCTGTCTCAGTCACGGGGGCGTCACCATCAGGGATTTCTAAGACTTCACCAAACAAGACCCTCGAAACCCCGTCCGAAGCAAATGAACCCTGACCTTGTTCCGCCTGAGCGCTACATATCTCATCCCAGAACTCTTCGTGACCTACGTTTTGGGGAGTTTGAAAGTTCTGATTCGATTGTTGATGGTGCTGCTTGTCTGTGGCTGCCGCTTCTGCTGCTGCCTCCGTAGCGCGTGTCATCACTGCCGCCTTGGAAGAATCGCTATCTAAGGCTTTCGGGGTGTGGTCGGCAGCACACGGGTTCGGGTCTAAACCGCTAGCACCCCTAGCAGCAACCTCAGGCAGCGGGAATCCAAGCTTCACGAGAACTTGCCGGTCCTGCTCTGTCAATCGCAGTAGACCTCCTGTGGTAAAGGTGGATATCGCTACTCTGTCACCCTCCCAGGGCTCTGTCCCATGCATGATCTTGCCATTGAAGACAAGGTGTTTGCGCCTCACTTCATGAAGACATCCTGGCATGGATACTCTGGCCTTGATTTCCCTAAGCTCCGAACCTCGGGATCCTTGCGAGTCGAAAAAGGGCCGTTCAAAAAAAAAAAAAAGAACCCTGCTCATGATGCATCCACAGTTGCCCCCCAGTGCATTCGCGCTCGGATGTCAAGCAGACTAAACCATTCAATGACCCCGGAAAGTTGTGGGCATCCTTATGTGGAAGAAAGGCAACATTGTCGTTCACCACGAGCGTCGACCACGCTAGCGATGGACACAACTTCTTCATAAAGGTCGCAAGCACACGAGCAAGCCAGGGACGCACTCTTGTCATTCTAGACAGACCAGAACAACCGCCGTGGGACCAAGCTCCAAACAACCATGATATGACATGATGCTCTTCACCGTTGACGCATGGACGATATTTCATCTGCGGTTTCAAGCTACTTTCGCGCAAGAGTGCTAGCACCGAATCATACGTCAAGTTGTCTACTCCACTCTGAAGAAGATCTCGTGCTCGGGCTTCATCGGTCAAGATGTCCGGTTTTTTTGGGATCAACCCTCGGCGGGAGCTTAAACCCTAAATCCTCATCTCTTAGGGTACCAGGGTTTGGGTCATCATCTGCTGGGGTTTGTGCGCACCACTGATGCAACTCCTCGATGTTCACTGCGACTGCTTGTTTGATGCACTGCTCACAATGTTCATCCGAATGTGTCTCCTCCTGAACATGCTCAGAGGGTTTACTCAAG